ATCCACACACGGCCTCATTCAATTGTTGTCACAAACATGCAAACCTCTAAGCCTCATATCCAAAGTGTCATCCTACTTACTTAGCAGATACAAACACCAGTTCTCTATTGTCACTAAACTCAGATCCACACTCTGGAGGCAAGTCGCAAATATCTTTAGGAAAAACATCAGGGATCGCATAACACTGGCATATCACTAGCCGTCACATTACTCTCTTTTCTCCGAGAAGAAAACATTAAAAATACCTGATTGATCTTTCTGAAGACATCCCAACTTGACCTGCAGACAAAATCATGAATTTGTACTTTCATACCTGCGCTCTCTGTAACTCAACAGTGTATTACACCAACTCCCATACCTGAAACATCTTAGAGAAGCAAAAGCTTCTCCTCAACTTGTTTCAAACCAACCCTTGCAGATAAATAGTTAGAAAAATAAGCAAGTACCGACAGTGTTTCACACACATGTCACACACTAAGGAACAAACAACATTAGACAACCTGGCCGGACGGGCCGACCTGCTCTGATACGAATTGTAACATCCCATTTTCCCATATGAATATTTATAATGAAATATATGACAAATGCATCAGAGTTCATAATGGGATGCCACATAAATCATAAAATCCATAAAGTTCTCAAAATACTTTATTACTTCGTGTATCTAAAAATGGTTATTCGACAATGGAAAATCAACATAAAAGTAGTTCATTGGCCTTCTAGCCTTAACAACAATTCAAATCCACAATATGTGGTCCATCATAAGTTTAAAAGAAAATGTGCAACATTTGAAATCATGCAAAACATAATGAAAATCCCAAATACCGTGTTACATATCAGAGTGACTCCTAAGACTCGATATGGTAACATCACTTCAAGCACTACTCGGGTACTTGATTATCTGTAATCCTGAAGAGTACAGACACAACAACACAAAAGGGGTGAGAATTTCATTCAATAATTACACGGTGAAATAAAACATGTTAAGGAGTAGTAAATCACAACATATAGAAAATTCATCACAAACAACCATCATCACATCATACAACATCAATTCAGTGTTTATGCAATCCAATAATCCTACATCAACATGAATGTGGTACCATTAAGGCATAAGCCTTCAAATCAATGCGAATTGGGCAATAACAGAGCATAAGCCCTCAACATAATGCCAATCCAGGCCAACATCAGGGCATAAGCCCTCATCTATGAATGCATGGAATATAAACATGCAATAATCTGAAATCATACAACCACAAGGCATAAGCCTTCATCACCATGGAAATTTAAGCCATCCTCATCATCCTCATCATAATCACCAACATTGCCTCATACCGGCATCATCAGCAAAAGAACATCACAAGAAAACAACTCACCATTTTGGTGTAACAAATGGGGAATTATTCCTATTTTAACTTAGTTACTATAATTATCCTTATAAATCTTTATTTTATTCTACCTACTTCAATTTTATGGTATTAGCTATCCAACAATTCGAACGGCGCATCAAATGGAGTTACGGTTCAAAAGTTATGGCCGTTACAAAAATTGTCAAAACTTGGGCTTCCCTCGGGTTAGGTTGCATCGACCGCTCCTGGCTTTTGCATTGGACGCCCATGTTGTTGCTGTTTTCCTCTCACTGATGTTGTTGTTTGCGTCGATCACTTCCTTGTTTGTACCGATGCAAACTGTTAAATTCTGAGTTTTTCTATGATTTTTCTACGATTTCACTAAATTTTGGATCTTAAAACATCATCTAACCATAGAAATTCATCATCCATTATTATCCTATGTTTCTATATCAATTATACATCATTTGGGCATTATTATTCATCTTATATTTCATCAAATCCTCTTCCAAAATCCTCAAAATCCTAATTCTCATTACTTATAGGTTATAGATTGGGATTTTATGCAACAATCATCATAACAACGCAAATCACAACAATAATCACAACATAGCATCACAGATTCATGTATAATCATATACAACACATCAATTCAATCAAACCAAACAAATTATGCATCAATCATATAAAACAACCTAAGAGGGAAAGGAACCCTCACTGCCCTCATGTAAGATAACCAATTAGAGAATCCATTCACCCCTATTACCTTATGATTATTGTTACCTTTCGATTCCTCTTCTCGTTCTACAAGTTCCTCTTTTCCTCCATGTCTCCTTGGACCCTAGCTTCTCCTTTGCTCTTCTCCTAATATCTCGATCGTACCAAATGATCGTGCAATTCTCTTTTCCCTTAGTTATCACAAGGATCCCTAATATCTTCCTCAATCGCCCTCACTTAGCTTTATACCATTTACCATCATGCCCTCACTCTTTCTATTAATTACAATATTGTCCCTATTTTCTCTACACTTCTATTATTCTATTATTCTAATTACTTAAATCCAAATAATTCCAATTAATCACTATTAAATCTAAATAATTCCAAAATAATTATTTAAATTTCAAACCTTCTTACTAACTCATCCTACACTACATAACTCATCATCTTAAACACCTTATTCATCAAAACATCGTTATTTGCATCACAATTACATCACAAATACACATGATATACCGTCACAAGAACTCACACAAGACACCAAAACATCAAAACACCATCTACTTCACATAGACTCATATAATCATATTAAATTAATTAATTAAATAATTAATCTAAAATTTAGGGTGTTACATCATACAAAAGATTTTGGAGAAGAAGATTTATGAAAAGGTAAAATGGTGAGAGCTTACCCTATATTATAAATAATTTGAGAGCTAGAACTAGGAGTAATCAAATACCTATCATTAGGTTCTTCGACAGTTGCAAAAGGTTCCCCACGTTTCTGACACGTGTGAGAGATTTATAGCAATTTGACTTCTCTAGACTAATTCATCATTGATTACATTTAATGTTACATGTGCATTCATCTCAACTGACGTTCTAGGGTTCACTTCAATTGACACTTAGAAATTTACCCCAAGCCATAATTTAGAGACCCGCCCCAATCCAGGCTTGAGGCATTCACCCAAACTAGGCTAGAGGGACTCTCCACAAGCCATGCTTGAGGGGTTTGTCCAAATGTGAAGAGGCGGTTGAACTAAATTACTTCGTCCTTTACAAGCCCTCATAGTTGAGGGACTATCTACCAATATATTTATGAAGGACCCAAAGAAAGCCATACAAAATTCATTAAGGATAAGTGATACAACACATCGCCCTAAGTGCTTTCTAAGGGCCCGTTGGTCAAATCATTCACTCATTGTTGGCATAATTCACCCTCTGGTCATAATACTTTCTTTATGATAAGCTTGGATAAAACTACATATTGCTCACTCAAGAAACGCGAGGATTGACGTGTCCTAGAGCACTAATGGCATGAAAGCTCAGACAAAGACAGAAAGCCACCCGCTCTTGAAGAAAATGGGAGCATAATAATACCAAACTCTTAAAATGGGCAGAATAATTACTGCATGGGTCCAAGGATTCAGACCCAATATATCTTTATAAATAACTCAATCACAAAGTTGAGAATGACATTCAATTCATTGAGAAACCGCCTAGATATAAAGTTTCTCACCATCTTTAAATGAACTTGCTCTTCATAAACGACAATCCTAAAACTCTCTGATAACCCTACACAATTAAGAGTAGTCACTTATTATACTCGTGTCAAATACACTTTTGATTTGACATGTTGTCTTCCCAATAAGGTAAGTCTCTCGTGAGATATCATATTTTGGTTAAATCATGACTATTAGTTTGAGTCTTTTTTTTACCTAGACTGACTAATCTAGTTCGGAGATCAAGTGATTTCAATCTCTTTTTGATCGTAGTTGTGGGAAATTAAATTGTAGTCTTTCTATCAAATTCAACATCAATTATCATTAAACCAACTGATTATTAGTATTAGTCTGAGCGTTTTGTCTATATTGAAACATATCTTGAATTTTTTCATTAAAGTATAAATTATTCTATTAATAATAATAATAATAACAATAATAATAATAAATCATTCATGTTATTTTTTTAAAAATAGTTATTATTCTATTTTATTTCAATTTTTAATTTATCTTTCTCATAATATTAAAAATGATCATACTTATTTTACTTTATTTTGTATACAATATTAATTAAATTTTGTATTGATAAGAATGACTAATAAATATCTAAGGAAGTAATAAATACATAGCCCTTGTCTTATTCCAGAAAAAGAAAAAGTCTTCATCCTTTATCCACTTGATTGAAATTAAATCTCGGTACCTTAGCCGCGTTAATATAGAAATCGCCAAGAAGAAGATAATGAATACACTTAACCACACAAATCAAAACTATTACTGATATTTTGAATTGAATCAAAATTAATTTAAAAGGTGTATAATTGATTCCGAATGATTTTAATTGATTTATATTATTTAAAATTAAATTAATAATATCTTTAGAATTGATATTATTTGAAGTTATAATTTATAGTTTTTATTTTTAGAATTGATTTAAAGTAATTTTTATATTAAAATTTATTATTTAATTCACTTTTATATAAATATATTTAAATATAAATTAATTTTATCAAATTCAATTATATTAAAAATTAATTATATCAAATTTAATTCTATTAAAATTAATTATACTCATCGTCAATTCAAACACAATGTAGATGGTCTAAATTGCCTTTAAAGAAGAAAAATATTATACGATCAGAATCAATTAAAACTAAAATCTATTTATATTATAACAATAAATGATTATTAATCCATTAAATTATTACTCAAAATACCGACAGTATTTTCTTTTATTAAAATCAACATAATTAAATTAAATTAATTAGACGTGTTAAATCACGAGTGACATTTGGGGATTTGACTTGAGCCTATTTTATACCAACCAAAATAGAATAGATAAAATAAATAATAAAAATTTATAAATCACAAAAAAAACATTTTCTCAACTCAAGGCTTTAAATTCTCGTAACCACTCTTGTTCTTCATTCCCGCTATGGCCCATCAAAAGAAAAGGCTCAAAACTCTCGCAAACATTCTCAAAGACAAAGCTTCAGTAATCTACGCATCTCTCTCCGTCAAACGCCACGTCTCCTCCCTCCACATCAAAATCCTCCGCGCCACTTCCCACAGCCTCTCATCACCACCCTCCGAGTCACAAATCGCCGCCGTCCTCTCCATCGGCAACACCTCTTACTCTCTCCCTCGCGTGACCATCAACTCCCTCATGGACCGCCTCCACGGCACCAAGAACGCTACGGTCGCAATCAAATGTCTCTTCACTCTCCACCACATAACTATCAAAGGACCGTTCACTCTTAAAGATCAGCTTTCTTGTTACCCTTCTTACGGTGGTCGAAATTTTCTTAATCTTTCTGCTTTTCGTGATGACTCGGATTTTGAATCGGTGCAACTCAGTTCTTGGGTTCGTTGGTATAGTGCTGTTCTTGAACAGTTTCTAACCATTTCAAGAATATTAGGTTATTACCTGAATTCCAATTCTATAAAGAATGATTCGAATGATTCGGTTATGATGATGAAGTTGTCCAATGCTGATTTGTTGTATAAACTCGAAGCTTTGATTGTTTTTGTTGAGAAAGTTAGTGATGTTCCGGAATCGTTGGATCTTCAGAGGAATGAACTGGTTTATGAGATAGTGAGAATGGTTGGTGAAGATTATAGAAACGTGCAGGGTGAGATATTGATGAGATTGGAGGAACTTGGGAAGAGGATAGAGAGAGTTGAGGATGTGGGTGAGTTGAACGAGTTGCTGAGTTATTTGAGGAGATTGGAAGAGAGTAGAGAGAAGCTTGTGGTTTTGTTTGTGAATAGAAGGAAGAATGACGGGTTTTGGGAGATGGTGAGAGAGATGAAGATGAGAGGGTTGGAAAAGAAGAGAGAGATTGAAGGGAGGTGGCTTACGGTGGTGAGTAGGAACACGCTGGCGGCGGCGGCTGAGTTGACTCGGTGTACGAACCCGTTTCTTGAACCGGGGGAATATTTTCCGGTCCCACACTTGAGTTTTGCAACGGTAAGATGACATACGGCAACGTTATTTTACTTTTCTGTCTGGAAGAAATTCTTCTTTTTGGCTTTTGTAATTTTTTATAATTTTTTTTCTTCATTTTTCTTTTGGAATAAGCCCTTTCTAGCTGGGGGCTGATGAACTTTTTTGGAGTTGGGTTTTCTATGTTGTTGTGTGAATAATTGAAGTGGAAAACTAGATAGACAGATTATAATTTCACCATGTATATAGATTTGTTTGGCAAATTCAAAAAGATACAGATTTATGAGTTTTTGACTTTTCAATAGGATTTTTGTAGAAACCGATTACAGTTGTGATTTGTAATATTTCTATCTTTGATATAATATTCCGCCGCCGCATTGCGGTCATGTCGATACATATGTCACAATATTAACCGTGTATTAATTGTGATTTTTGTGTCATTAATTATGATTGTCGTAGCGTGAATTAGATTACAATTTATTATTTAATATAAAAACAATGATGTTGAAATATTAAATATAATATTAGATATAATTTAAGTTGACTGTGTATTAATTGTGATTGTTGTGTCACAATAATACTGTATATTAATTATGATTGTCGCAGCGTGAATTAAATTATAATTTATTATTTAATATAAAAACAACGATGTTGAAATATTAAATATAATATTAGATATAATTTAAGTTGTGTAATTTAAACTCAACTTTAATTAAGATTTGTTAGTCTATATAATATACAAGTTATTTGTATATAAATAGATTAGTTTGTATCATTATTTATAACAATTCAATTTAATATTAAAGCTCTTATTTCTTTATTTTTTCTCTTTCTCTTCTCACTAAAAGTGTTTCACGCACTAACAAATTGATATCTAGAGCTTCAGTTAGATTCTGTATCGTGTTTTCAAGAATCACATGTCAGAGATCGTATTTTCAAGATATTGGGTTGTTCACTAGCAATCACTACGAAGATGAATGGTAACAATAATATTTTGAATTCTCTTTCAACTCTTGACAGTAAGAATTGAATTCGATAGAGAAAACATATGCAATCTCTATTTGACTTTCATGAAACTCTAGATGTAGTTATCAATGGCGTTTCTGCACTGGCTGCAGATGCAACCGATGCACAAAAAACAACACACAATGAAGCCAAGAAGAAGGATTGCAAGGCTACATATTGTACTCAGACGACAGTCGATGCAGTGAACTTGAACGGGATCTCTCATGCTGAATCGACGAAGGAGACATGAGATATTCTTGTCAAGTACTATGAAGGATATGAGAAAATCAAGGTTGTCAAGTTGCAGACCTTGCGTCGACAATATGAATTATTGTCAATGGGAGAAGACGAAAAGATTGCAGAGTATGTTTCAAAGGTTCAGAAACTCGTCCATCTCATGAAGGGTTGTGGTGAAATCCTAACTGATAAGATGATAGTTGAGAAGATAATGCGTATGTTGACCTCTCACTTTGATCATATTATTGTAGCTATTCAAGAATCCAATCAACTTGAAACTCTAAAACTGGAAGATATGATTGGTTCATTGGAAGCGCATGGTGTAACACTCTTCTAATCCACATACATTTTGCATATACTTTCTCGAAAAATTGCATCAAATAAAGACCACAGAAGGGCATCACATCTTCATAGAACATCAAATAATAATTAAATCCTGCCCCGTAACACGGGTTGCAAAGAAACCATTGATTATAATCTCTAGTAACCACAAACAATTCACTTCAAACTTCGCAGTAGAATTAATGACTCATATCTTCTGCATAAAATAATCTCAAATACAACGAAAGGTAGTTTAAATATCATTAACATCATCACACTTCGTGTTTATAACATCATAGCCTAAAACATGGTAAAAGTCATGATAGAAATACAAAATCTCAAAATAGCAAAATATGCAAAGTTCGCAAACAATCGATTTCAACCCCGATGTTACATATCAGAGCAAGACTCCCTTTATTCAACAAAAGTAAATAAACACACTCTAAAGCTATCCTCTAATGCTTCTACAGACTAATCTCGATCACCTGCATGTTACCCACGTTGAGGCAACATTCAAACAGAAAGAGTGAATAAATCATAATCATTATAAAAGATATAAGGGATAAATATAGTAGACATGCAAATAGGCAAGGCACCAAACATCATAAGAACTTCATGTCATACTCACACCTTCACAAACGTCATCAATTCACAACAACATATTATCAAAATACCAATTATCAACAAATATCACACATTATTATGTAATGTCACATAAAATGTAATGCATCACTGTAGACTCATGCATGTGGTACCAAAACTTCATTGATAACTCAGCCATCATTATCGCCAAAGATCTCCACCAGTAGGAATGATTCCTGCTTGGAACCAAAGCACGTCATAATTTTACACTCAATCCACACTATAGGATCAATGCCTTCACTGGACAATTGTCCTATCATCTTCACTGGACCTAAGTCCTAATAACATCACTGGACCGAAGTCCTAAAGTATGCCATGAATGCATGATGCGTAATAACATAACAAATACGACCACGACTAGTCAAAATGCATCATAATCCATGAAATCACCACAACGTCATCATATCATCATAATAAACAAAGCATCATCATAACATCATCATAACATCATCATATCATCATAATAAACAAAGCATCGTCATAACATCATCATATCATCATAATAAACAAAGGATTGTTATAATCCAACACGGGGAACCTAACTTCATCCTAGTTTAGATATTGAGGAAATAATTATTTTATCTCATTTTATTCCATCTAACTAAAGTTCATTGCATTAGCTATCCAATGCTTTGAACGACACCTCAATCCAAGTCCTAAAACTCGAGTTACGACTCTTTTAAGAAAATCCAACACAACCAATCAAATCTAGACACCATCGCCTAACGACATACTTCCATTGCCAGGAAACGCTTGAAGCGATGCACTCCAGCAGCATCACTCTTTTATGCCCTTCTTCGCTCCCATTTTCACCTAGCGACGACCACACGACAATACCATCGCCCGACAATGCTTCTCCAGCGCCCGATGACACAGTGCAAATAGAGTTTTCCTGTTATGATTTCCTGCATAAAAACCAGTCCCAATCTTGTGATTTATGCATATTATAGGTTCTAAAACATCATCCAATTATAGGGTTTTCACCAAATAACAACAACCCAGTGCATTCTATATTATGGGTACAATTTGTTTACAATCCAAGACCATAAAACATCATTTAATTCATCTTATCATCACATATTCATCACAACCAAAACCTATCATAATCTACATCTATCTAAACCTTAAATGGATTATAACAATCAAGATAAACACACCTTACCTTGAGATTATTGCTAGCAATCAAATCCTCTTCGTGCTCTACCATAATTCCTATGCTTCTCCTTGCCTCTTTGTGCCCTAGGTCTCTTTCCCCACAGCGTTCTTCCAATTCTACGATCACACAGAATGATCGTCTAAACTCTCTCAACCTTTCCTTATACCAAACTTATCCTTTTAGACCCCTAATAATGAACTTCCCACCATGTTCTCATTTATCCTTCACTAATGACCATTTTCCCTCTATTTTCTCCACACCACCATTCTATTGATTTAAATCCAAATAATTCTAAATAATTATTTTAACATCTAAATAATTCCGAAATATTTATCTAAATCCTAAACACCTCTTATTATCCCATCGTTCACCTCTATCCCATCAAATACCACACAAATCATCATTATAAACATCATACTCATCAAGTCATCACTATTGCATCGTAAATGCATCATGAATACACATTATAAATCGTCACAAGGACTCGCATAAAGCAACAAAACATAATACATACTGTTTTACCCCAAATTTTTCCCTCTCATTCTCAAGAAATCTCTCACAAGATTTCCTTGGGTTCAAGACTGCACAAGGGTGAATCAGCTCAAGACACCTCCTCAAACACTGATGACTGAAAATTAGGTTTGAGATTGCACAAGGAAAAATGGACTTTTAATTCCCCATATGACTTTCATGGATCATTTTGGACCCACTAGATTTCTCATGTCAAGTTTCAAGTCTTGGATCACATTTTTACTCAGTCAATTGATCAGTTGACCTAAAATCAATTATATTTGGAAAAAAGTCAACTGTGATCAATTTACAGTCAAACTTCATAATTTTTTATCCATATCAACATCATGAACTCATATATGTCATTTGATCAATTTTGGACCATAATTCCTCAAGAAATTAGATCAGATCATCAAAAGGGCAAAATGGTCAAAATTAGGGTTTTGATTGAGAAGGTGCAATTTCTGATTTTTGACCTAGAAAATGATTGATTGGTTTGAGAAATGATCTCAAGGATTCAAATGCATCATTTTGACCTAATGACATGGCTCAAAACATTGCTCAATATCAATTGATTGACAGATGAATTTTCAGTCAATTGATCAAAAGTCAACTGTACATTGAAAAGTCAAACTTTGACTTTTTAGTCAAAATCAAGTGTCAAAAATCACAATTCATCAAAACATATCAAAATATGAAACTTGTTCATCAAGAATCAAAAAGTCAAGATTTCATTTTGAAAAGTCAAAATTTCTAAACTTAAAATTTTTTCTAAGTGTTTGAAAATTCATATTTTTTCACAAGTTTGAGCCAAATTTTCACCATGATGCAAGATGATTCAAAGGAAGCTTTCAACATGAAAGTTTTATATATCAATGAGATCTAAAACATTGTAGAACACAAATTATCTTAGAAATGCATGGATTTAAAGTTATGATTTTGTGAATACATGTTCATGAAACTTGGAAACTTAGTGAAATTTTGCCCTAGTTTAGGCAGGATTTTGACCTAACTTCATGGAAATTTTTCACATAGTTCCTAGATGAATCTCCAAAAATTTCCAACATAGAGGTTGTATAGGATGTTACAATATTTCCAAAATGTCCAATAACTCATTGAGATCATACTTGATCAAGGAGAATCGAAGGTAAGAAGTTAGGGT